ACTTGTTTAATTTTGACAAAGCATTTCTCAATAAAATAATTTTAGTCCCACCAATGAACATTATAACCCCACTGCCATAGTAGTGACAGCTTTTTGTGATTGTCCAAAGCATTACATGTTTAATGTATTCAAACTGCAGAAAATGCAGAAAAGCCAAAATATTCTGAAATCTGAACAAAACTGTGTATATGTTTAAAAAATTTGAAAAAAATAAGTGTGTGTAGATATTTTATGTTTTAGATTAATAATTACAAAGTTTTCATTTATTTACCTTTGACTTCATCCTGTGTTTGAATTCTGTATGAAGTGCAATTTAAACATTCTTCTTCTGTTAACACACCTGATTCAAAGACAGTGCATTCAACACAGTCTCTAATGATATTACAATGACCTTCACAAGTCTGAAATCAAAAATTAATATTTTAATGATAAAAAATACATAAATTTCAGAAAATTTTTAAGGAATGATATTGATTATGAGATTGCATTCATCTTCATACATAATATCTTTATTATTAGCATCAAACTTAGTATCATTTTAAGTAATATTGTTTTAAAAAAATAACATCAAAAACAAATATGCTTTAGCTGCAATGCTATCTCGAAAAATTAAAAACACTATAGTTTCATGTAATTTTATCTTAAATGTTTATATTGATCAAATATTGTCAGTTTCTGTGAACTTAATTTTATAATGACTTTAGCATTTTCAAATAAACTTATACATTTACTACACTAGAAGGTAGCACATTTGATTAATTTAATTAATATAATCTGATTTAATAATGCATTATCCTTTACAATAATGTAATTTTTGAATGAAATTATATTGGGTATTCAAATGATAAGTTTGTATTTAACAATGCTAAAAGCCAGCAGTGCATGTTACTGTCATGTTATGTATTGAAGAGATTTTCTGATTATTTATTTACTACAGACATGAGGATAAAATTTGTTTTGTTTAAAATAATGAAGCAATTATCAGTAAAAAATTATTATTTTAGATATTATGTTAAAAAACTATTATTAAAATGAATTCTAAACTAAATTATGGAATACTGTTTTATGATTAGATAAGTAAACACACTTTTTGATTTCCAGCAGTAGTTTAATACAATAAAAACATTTTCAACTTATTTATAGGTCTAAAACTTTTTCTTATCTAATCATATTACTTCCAGTTTGCCTTGAGAACATTTTGACTACTATTTTATGTAATAATTTTTATGAAGTGTATTGTCCAACATGTATTGTAATTATACATAAATTAATAATATAAAAATTAGTCATAGATCCACTAAAAATCATATTAATTTATAATTTTAGTTAGTTTGTTCACTATTACATAAAATAAAAATACTGTTTAAATTAAATATTACTTTCTCAAGTACTATTGGGAAGCTAAGCCTATCATCAAGAGAAATAACTAAAGACTTGCCAAGCATATGTGAGCCACTAAAACTTACAGTGAAAATGTCTGTATGTGTTTCTACTTTCCATATGAAAGGTACATAAATATTATAAATGTGTAGAAATAGTATCATTTCTAGAGTAAGATGCTACACAAAAATTTGCAGGTGAACAACGTGTTGTTACAGAAAAACTTTAGACATTCTACTGCAGTGCTTTCTAAACTTTTAAACTGAAGTAGGGAGTGATGTAATATACTCACTGTCTTACGACATTAAAAACAAATTTTTATTCAAAATTGCAAATATTTTTGATATCTTGCAACTATCTTCATCATGCTGATTTGGTTGGAGTCAAATTGAACAAGATTTTTCATATTTAAGCAGAACAAGAACATAATGGACAACTTTAAAAAAAATGTTCCAGCTGCATTTGTTAAAAAAGTTGTCCATTATGTTCTCGTTCTGTTAAATTATGAAAAATCTTGTTTAATTTGATTCTAATCAATAAAATGAGAAAATTTTTAAACTATCAAAAGTATCAATATTTGCAATTTTTAATAAAAAGTTATTTTTAATGCCATAAGATAGTGAATACATTATATCAAAACTATCTTGGCATAAAGTGTTGCTAATTTTTGTTATCTGAAGTAGATGGAGATAGAATAGAGATAATTTATAAAAAATTTACTCTACATTGGAGTAAATAACTTTTAAAATTTTGATATTACTTACATTACAGTCTTCACAGTAAAGGCCTGTATATGACCCATGTTCATCATTGTGACATTTACATTTTCCACAAATGCAATCACCATGACCACTGCAAACCAAAGGTTCACTATTTCCTATGGAAGCTATACAAGTACTCTGATCTTCAGTACAATCACAATCATCTCCAGTCCAACCAGGTTGACAAATGCACTTTCCACAACAAATTCCTCGTGAAGGTCCGCCACAAATTTTGCCTTCGGAATCGCGTTCACAGGAAAATGTATCACACTGACAATATTGGCCAAAAATTTCTTCATCTCCCTTTGAAAAAATAAATTTTTATTTACATATTTAAATGTTTGAAATTTATTTCTAAAAGTGAAATTTAAAATTAATTCCAATATCATTTCAATAAAATTTATATCCATTTTTAAATATGAATGAAATCAAAATCCTCTATTTACTTCTCATCTGTAAACTTATATATATTTGAAACATTAATTTTAATTAACATTAATTCAAAATTTGTTTCAATTAATTATGAAATCAAAATCTTTAAATTTCAATGTTGGGAAGCAGTGGCGTGTGGTGATATTTGGTGATAGGGAACCAAGTCCTGTACCAGTCCTGGATAGAATCATTGGAAGCATTATACGATATTTTGGTGTATAGCATCCATAAGCTAAACTGTGTAAGGTTGATGCTTTGTAAAGCACATGCACAAATGTGTATAATCTGGCTGCTTTACATCATTCAAATATTTTTACCATGGAAGCTGTCCTGTATATTCGACAATACAACACTTCCATTGGGAATATGTATATATGGATTTATATTCGAATATACAATAGCAATCTTATCATTTTTTTTCACATGTA